AACCCCAGCTTAAGAGACATACAGAAAATTGTCTTATTAAGTACAGCACACACACTAAGGAGAACTTTGTCTATGTAACGCTAGCAACTTCATCGGAGATAAAAAAAAAAAAAAAAAAAAAAAAAATTAACATGAAATGTGGCCATAACAACACACCACGACCTGCCTTAGGTCTTTCCGCAGACTTGGTAGGTAGTGTGTCCATAGCAGAAATCGAATGATGATGATGATGACAATAATAATAATAGTTTCAAATGAGTGAAAGAATACAAGTAAAGCACAATACACCGACTGCAGCTGCAAAATACTTAAAAAAGAAAGCAAAGGCAAATGCAATGGATCAGATATAGAAACGATGGCAAAATAAACCTCTTCCCGCTCAATACTCTGCCTGTACCAAACAAGCCGATATAGACAAATTCCGTACCCAACAGTGGGTACTTAGTGCATGGTTAAAAGCTGAAACTGAAGATTTTATTCTTGCTGCATATGACCAATGCTTGCTAACTAGAAATTACCAAGCACAAATACTAAAAAATTGTGTCAGGCCAAAATGCAGATTCTGTGATAAAGATCCAGATCTTGTATCAGGTTGTGTGGTATTGACATCCACTGAATATAAAACACGGCATGACAGAGTGGGCCAATATCTGTGAAAAATTGTCAGTAGATTCTAGTGTTCCCAAAGACAACTTAGTAACGATGAAAGGAAAATGAAAATCTAGGAAAATGTCTAGATTTTTATCAGAGAATTAGAATGAAGATGAAGATGACAGAGATGCCCTTCATTATCGAAGTAATGGAAACAAACCTGAAAGTGCCACTCGAAAAGGTTGAAAGCTGGGCACTGAGGAATATTTGAAACAGTTCAGACGACAGAATCTTTGAAATCAGCTAGAATATTAAAGTAAAGTGCTGGACGCGGATATGACTTGCTGTCACTTGTTCTCCAAGGAAAACCGTTAGTTACTAGTGTTGAGAAGAGAAAGACAAGATAGAATGTAATTAAATAAATAAATAAAAAGAAATATCGAAGAATAAAAGTTGTAATCATAATTCAAGTAATAAATGTGGAAGAACAAGACTTAAGATTAATTGCAATGATAAAGGAATAAGTTTTATAAAAGAAGAAAACCAGATAAAAAAAAGGGATTCATTATACGAGAAACATCATCAAGAAGTCTACAATAAAAAAAAAAGCACGAAATAAAAAAAATGAGCAAATATAAAAGAATTCGAATAATAAGCAACTTAAAAAAAAAAAGATTAACAAAAACTGGACAAAGAAAAAATAATCACGAGAGAGAAAAAAAAATCAGTATCGTCTGCCATCCATCAAAATTACGCATTACTTAGAAAATTTTAAACATAAAGACAGATTTAAAAAAAAAAAAAGGAAAGAAACAAAACAAAAAGAAACAAAAAGAAACAAAACAAAAAACACACAAAAAGAAACAAAACAAAAAACACACAACGCAATTTGATTAATCTTGTAAACCATCTTGTCACGAAAATATCCGACAAACTTCAATAATTCATAATCATCTCTACTCACCACTTTTGTTATCAGCCTTCTCTCTCTCTCTCTCCCTCCTCCTCTCTTACTCAATCACTCATTCTCTCTCTCTTTATCTCTCTCTCTCTCTCTCTCTCTCTCCAGCTTTTTCTGAGAAACCTATTTTCCGAAACATTTGCCCACTGTTATCCTTCTTTCCAGTATAGACGATTATTTCCTTCCTAACATTTGGTTTAAAGTAGTATCAGTCAGTTATGTGACATGCGTAATACACGCTTAGGTGACCATGTATCTTTCGATACATAACTGACGAGGTAGATTTTTTCCCGCAGTAGGTTGCCATTTCTTTTTGCGGTATATCAGTTTCCATCTATACTGCTATTTGCTCATATCAGGAAGAGGATTCATACCTTTCCCAAGGGTATTAGCCCGTATGTTTAATGTAATGGATTCGACTGGAATTCGAACTCGGCTCTCCAGTTTCTCAATCCGAGCCGCTATCCATTACTCCACCGTATTTCCCCAAATAATTATAAAACTTTAATCTTTTTTTAATTGAGGGTTGTCCTTCTCCTAGACCAGTGGTCATCCAAGGCTATAGAATCCAGGGAGAAGTAGAAGAAGATTCATACCTTTCCCAAGTGACAGTTCGATACTTTCTTCCACATTTGCCATGTAAATACAGAGATAGCTTAGAAAATTCGGAGTTCTGTTATTGTTATACGTGAACGTACCTATTCTATTATTAATAGACTCTCCCACACGTAAGATGATATAATGGATTCAACTGGAATTCGAACTCGGCTATCTGATTCCTCAATCCGAGCTGCTATCCATAAGGTCATTATCTTGCCTATGTCATTATTTTATCCTCAAGTTGCATGTGCTATCCTTTTAACTTGTTGAGAAACCTCAGGTGATGTGCTTTTTGTTATCTGGTGTGTTATATAGCCCACTCACGCGAGGAGTTCCTGGTCACTGCGCCAATTTACTCATATGTTGTATAGCTTCTCTCTCTTCATCTCCTGGTCGAAATAATTTTGGTTCTGACTTGAAAGATATCAACAAAGATAATTTTAACTGATCTAGTTTTATTAATGTTTATGTCGACATGCTGTATCTATCCAGTGGGGGCCGTTCCCCCTCACTGGAGAGCCGTTTCAGACACGAAAGTGAACACGTCTACATTGCATGATGGGTCAGAAACAACTCACTGAAAACACTTTCTCTATACCGATCATTCCTACGCTGGCTCAGCCAATCAAAATCGACTTCCTTATTTTGTCTTCCATCTGATTTCTAAGGTCAGCCTCAGGAAATCTGAACAGAGATACACTGCCTGTAAAAAAATAATAGTCGGCAAAACTATTGTTTAACAAGTGCAGTTCGTTGTAACTGTGTAGCGCCAGTCCACAAGGACTTTTATTATGTTAGTACACATTCATTTTTCACTAAACATCTAATATTACATTTAATGTTAATGTCTTATCATTCATTTCTGATTAATCTTTAAATCGTTTTGCTTTTTTTATCTTAAAATTCAGGTCGTTATACTTTACGGATATTTTTTTACATAAAAAATATAAGCTGAAGCTGAAAAAATAACAGATGTGAACTCGCATCCTATGAAACGCTACATAATTTTTTCAATACATCAAGCAAGACGGTAATGCCGCTAGTACGCAGAGGATCACAAAGAGTGAAAGCGAAGACTGAGGATCGTGAGGATTGAGGAAAGAACAAAAGATGAACTGTATTCAAAAAGACAAAAGATGGCGTTTGACGTTGCATTTAAATTTTTGAAGATTGTAGTTATAAGGGAAGCAAGTAAACGGAAGGGAGTTCCACAGGCGGGAAGTGCGAGGAAAGAAACTGTTGGAGTAGAATTGGCAGTTGCATTTAACCATGTCAACAATGTGGGATCTAGATGCCAATCTAGTAACACGCTTAAATTCGTGCAGTCGCGGCACCAGGGGGGAAAAAAACAGTTGTCATGAAAATATTTGTAGAAAAGATAGAAGCCACGCCCCGTCGGCGTAGAAAGTGACTGAAATCGAGATGACAGGTCAGTATCGATTACATGACAGATCCTTCTTTAGATGATGTCTATAATCTCTAGATGTACAGCAGGAGCACTAGAACAGATATGTCAACAGTATTCAGTGTAGATTTGTAAGTATAGAAATATATTTAATATTCCGATCAAATCTGTTTTGATTTCACTGAAAGATACCTGCCACAACTCATATGGGGAACTGCCATAATAGGTTATTTCATTCACTTCAGCTGCATTTTATAAATGCATCGCATTGTAATTTACAAGGCCACATTTCTTCGGACAGCTGAATTTTTTGAATTTGTTCACACAACGTTTCGGTCGATACTTTCTTCCACATTTGCCATGTAAATACAGAGGTAGCTTAGAAAATTGTGTTCTGTTATTGTTATACCTGAACATACCTATTCTATTATTAATAGACTCTCCTACACATAAGTAGTAGTAGTAGTAGTAGCGGTCGCTAGTTGAGCTCAGTGGAGTTGAGTGAGTCAGTCGATGTCGGACATTGAAGTATCAACCATCACATCTAGATTGCTGCATCATTAACTCTTATTTCAAGTTCCTAATGGTTTGTACGTCGGACCTTTTTAGGACCGACTTATTGAAATACAAGCCTCCACTGTGAAAACTACTCTACAACAGTTATTCTGGCAGGTAATTTAATAATGAATGAAAATAATCATTTATTGGAGTGGTTTATAGCTTCTGTTTGAATTCCTGGGATGAATTGTCATTATTTACGCTTTTCATATTCGTCCCAGTGTCCATTCACGCTATTTTCCACATATTTGTTGTTGCTATTCCAACGTTTCGGCCGTTGTGCCCTCTTCATTAATCCGGGTACCTCCAGGGAATTCTGAACTGAACACTTTATTTAATCTACGGGTGTAGACTGTTCTTGTTCTACTGTCTATATAGAGAGATGTCGTCTAGTTTTTTTTAGCGCAGTTCAGTTCTTGCTCATTGGTTTACATTGAGTGCACACTGCCAAACCCAGGGATTGAACTCACAATAACTGTGTGACTGAATTCACAAACCAATGCTTTAATCTACTAGTCTATGTGGGTTTATATCTTGTGAAAATGGCTTGTTTTAGTTCTTCTAGATTTTTATCGTGTAGTGAAATTTTATAGCTGGTATTGAAGACATTGATTCATTTATTGGTTTTCTACGGCTTCTCAAACCTTTACAGGTTATTTAAAACCAGAAACTATTTTTTAGATAGTAAGAATGTTTTATATAATAATGATTTAGTGATATAAGTCTTACTATTTAACCCATAGCTGGGGTGAAAATGTGTAGAGCCATACCTTTCCCAAGGGTATTTGTGCGTAAGTGAATATAACGAACCCAATGGGAATTAGATCTCGGCTCTTCGATTAACAATTCCGAGTCATCATCCATTACACCACTCGCACATCCAAGCTTACAGCACTTTGTATTCCCAGGAGATCACCCATCTAGGTACTGACCAGACTCGACGTTGCTTAACTTCGGTAATCGTACGGGAACTGGTGCTACGACGTGATATGGCCGTGAGTCCGTTATGAAGACAGCGTGGTGAAGATATCGTAAGCCCGTGATGAAAACATTAAAAGCAACACTTTCTTGAAATGGTAAATATCCTGCTATAAATTTCTTAGTTCAAAGTCTACTTAATTTGATAAGTCTACTCACTTTGGTGGAGTAATGGATAGCGACTCGGATTGAGGAATCGGAGAGCTGAGTTCGAATTCAAATCAAATCCATTACATTCACTTACGTACTAATACCTTTGGGAAAGGTATGAATCCTCTTCTTCTTCCCCACCCCTGCTATGGATAAATAGAAGGACAAACCGGCTTCTATATCCTTGGATGGCAACTGGTCTACCGCAGAAAGAAATGGCAAACTACTGCGGGAAAAAATCTGCCTCGTCAGCTGGTCAGTCATCTATCGAAAGATACATGACCGCCTAAGCGTTTATCACGCATGGCATATAACTGACTGAAATCCATAATTCATTGAATTGTTACATGTGTTAGTGATGATGCCACTGAAGGCATTGGCAGTGATGGATATTTTACCGATATAATGGCATCCGTTAACATTGCCAGAATATTGGTAACTCAGAAGGAAACTGTAACATTTTCACCAATTATTTTGTTTGGTTACATTTTACTTGGAGTCGAAAAAGAATGAAAAATGTATCCAAGTCCCAAATGGATAAAAAAAAAAACTCGCTTCGTTTCTTTATTTGTTTATGTAGTTCTTCATTTTGAAAATTTGCGTTCAAAGTTTTTTTTTTTCGTGTTGTTTTGTTTTTTGGTTTTTTTTTTATGTATGCGATGTCCTAACGGAGTTGCAAAATGATTCATGGTCTGAATCCCACGGGAGACATATGCGTGCAAATGATCGCCCATGACACATGTACATATCCTTCCGCTGGCTGAACTATTTTCTCTGAGATGCTGACGGATAAACATTATTTGGACTTCTGCACATGTACTGCCACTTATTAGCGCTGATCGTAAAGGATTCATTTTGCAGACTTCCTTTCTTTCAGTTTGAAGGTTGTATACATCAGCCTTGACCCTGGGGTTCGGTCACGTGATCGGGATCTGCACTCCCTGCTAAGCGGCAAAATTTTTAAATGATCGTCTGTCAAATTCAATCTTCGTCTTGTTGCTATGCGTTGCTGATGTGAAAGGGAATTGGGGAAAAGTGTGAATTAAAGACGTGTTGGCGGGACAAGTAGAAGTGGGCTCATCATAAAAAGAAAAAAAAAGAATAGAAGTAATATGTAACAAACAAAAAAGGAAATAAAGTAAAAGCAACGAAGGAAGGAAAAATAAATGAAGGTAGAAAGAAAGAAAGAAAGAAAGAAAGAAAGAAAGAAAGAAAGAAAGAAAGAAAAATGTTATGGTAAAGAAAGTAAACATTAGAAATATGACAAATAAAAGCGAAAGAAAGAAAGAAAGAAAGAAAGAAAGAAAGAAATGGCTATAAGCAAAGTTAAAAAAACGATTAAAAATAATTTTAAAGAAAGGAAAGAAAATGTAAGGTTAAAAGAAAGAAAAATGAAAGAAAGAAAAATAAAAGAAAGAAAGATGAAAGAAAAATGAAAGAAAGAAAAATAAAAGAAAGCTGAAAGAAAAATGAAAGAAAGAAAAATAAAAGAAAGAAAGATGAAAGAAAAATGAAAGAAAGAAAAATGAAAGAAAGAAAGATGAAAGAAAAATGAAAGAAAGAAAAATAAAAGAAAGAAAAATGAAAGAAAGAAAGATGAAAGAAAAATGAAAGAAAGAAAAATGAAAGAAAGAAAGATGAAAGAAAAATGAAAGAAAGAAAAATGAAAGAAAGAAAAATGAAAGAAAGAAAAATAAAAGAAAGAAAAATGAAAGAAAGAAAAATGAAAGAAAGATGAAAGAAAAATGAAAGAAAAAAAAATGAAAGAAAAATGAAAGAAAGAAAAATGAAAGAAAGAAAAATAAAAGAAAGAAAGATGAAAGAAAAATGAAAGAAAGAAAAATGAAAGAAAGATGAAAGAAAAATGAAAGAAAGAAAAATGAAAGAAAAATGAAAAAAAAAAATGAAAGAAAGAAAAATAAAAGAAAAAGAAAGAGAAAGAAAATGAAAGAAAGAAAAAAAAAAGAAAGAAAGATGAAAGAAAAATGAAAGAAAGAAAATAAAAGAAAGAAAATGAAAGAAAAAAAAGAAAGAAAAAAAATAAAAGAAAATGAAAAATGAAAGAAAGAAAAATAAAAAGAAAGAAAGATGAAAGAAAAATGAAAGAAAGAAAAATAAAAGAAAGAAAGATGAAAGAAAAATGAAAGAAAGAATGTTTTAAGAAATTTCTAATAAAGAAGAGAATTCAAAAGAAGAATTGGAATGAAGAAAATATTAACGACAATGAAACTAAAGATAATGGGAAAAAAAGAACATGAAGAATACAGAAAGAAATGAAGAAACAATAATGAAAAACGGGAGATATGATGGGAACATTTAAAATTAAATGAATGAAGAGCAAGAAAGAAAAAAGAAAGAAAGAAAGAAAGAAAGGCAAAAAGAAGAAAATATTGTAAATTCTCTTGAATAGAAAGAAGAAAAAAGAAAACAAACTGAAAATAACAGAACATTAAAAAGCGAGAAAGGGCGAAAAATATTACAAAAGCGAAAAAGTGAATATTGAAAGAAATATAGAAAGGAAAAACTATTCGAAAAATGAATAAATAAAAAGAGTAAAAAAAGAAAATATACAGAAGAAAAAATATATAAAAATTCCACAAAGATCAAAAAAACGTCCGCGTGTTGAAGACAAAAAAAAACTCAATTTTTTCAGTAATTATTGCATTATTTCGATTCGACGCTAATGGGAAAATGTTTTCATTTCAATAGCGTAAAATCATAATAATTTAAAAATGTAAAAACAGTTCTAATGATACCAGTAATGAAAGATATGACATTATCTGTCAAAAAGAATTATCCTTACTTTAATAATCGTTATGACTACTGGTCATCGACCTATTATGATATAAACAATGCCACTTGTGATATCACAAGTAGTATTTATGATAGAATTATAAAATGTCTTTCATCTCACAGAACAAATCAGCGAATTATAAAGCACTACATTTTTGTTTAAATTTTGTGTAAAAATTCATTGTAATTTTTCCCCTGTAGAATGTATTACATGTTATTCTATTATAACAATTCATGGAAAATTATTTTAATTCCAGAAATACCAGTGAAATTGTTTTACTATTTTAATTTTCGGATGAATCCTAATTCTTAAGTTAGTAATAGAACGAGCTCTTTGAGAGTTCGAGGACTCGAGAATACCAGCCGAAATCCCTTTATCGCGTCGTTATATATTTCAGCATAGAAATAACAAACAAACATGAACGCAGGTCATTATTTAAAGAAGTAAGAGAATACAAATAAAAAGATTTAAAAATTGACAAGACGTTTTTTTTTTCATTTCACTGAAGCGGTATCCTATATATTCTATTTATTTGTTTATTTATTTATATCACTTAAACCAGCGTCTCTGTTATGTCTTTTCCGTCTTTCCTCGCAATCAAAACGCAATAGTCAATTTATATTAGGGATTGGCACGGTGTAATACACGTCCTTATTAACTAACTAACTAAAGGACTTAAGAACAAGCAGAATTCTAATATGGTTGCCTATATCAAATGTATGGTTTATTGAAAAAAGTGTTCACATTACATTATATATATATATATATATATATATATATATATATATATATATATATATAATAAAAGCTGTCTGCGTGCAATCTGTGGAGTTAACCTTCAAGATAGGACATCTAACGGAGACCTGTTTAACAGGTGCAATATTGGAGGAATCGAGACTTTTTCTCATACAGTCTCAGTTACGGTGGACTGGTCGTGTCTTGAGAATGTCTGATGACAGGATACCCAAGATCCTAATGTACAGCCAGTTAGACCAGGGCTACAGGAATGTAGGACGCCCATGGCTAAGATACAAAGACAAGCTGAAAAGCAACTTGTCGGCTGTCAATATACCACGTAACACCCTTGAGCGCTTAGCTTTGGAGCGGGGAGAATGGAGAGAAACGTGTTTTAGTGGACTCAGTAATTTTCAATCTGGTTGTCTGAATCATCTTCAAGAAGCGAGAGCAAGATTTAAAAGGTCAGCCAATCTAACAGTGATCTCATTTCATAATCCTCATACTTGCTCCATACGTGGCCTCCTTTGTAAATCGCTAGCAGGTCTTAAGTGCCTATATAGATAAAATATGGATCTGGGTCCGACAGAATGATAAAAAAAAGAAAGTTTATAAATCTGATATGTTTTATTAAAGCTTCATCAGAGAATGAGATATGGAGCAAAAAGAAGAATGAAATTCTGGTATTTTTATTTTCGTTTTGTTTGATTTCCATTGGCCAATCGTGTTTCACGTGCATTCGTTTAATTAAACAAACGTTCGTATAATTTGTGGCGTTCCGAATTCAAGGAGAGATGGCGCGTCCTTTCGAAGTTCCAAGAAATTAGCAGATTCCAAGCCTAACTGAAAAACTGTAAATATTGCTTTACTCGCTTAAAAGCCAACATATCGGGTGGCGTTTAAGCTAATGTTGTGGATTCCGGGGATGGAATCCTGCACAAATAAATAAACAACGTCAGTAATTGAAATAGAAAATATGTGTATTAAACGTAAGAATACAAACTTGAAATGAAGATTAGTAGTCCAGGAATGCGGGTTAGTAGAAAAGTATATGTACAAGTTTCTGTAAGTGAATCCGTAATTATCTCTCTTTCTGGACTCTCGTATAACTCTGGGTGAACACCCCTGTCTCGACGTTTTTGTCACGCTATCTCTCCGTAGTATAAGTATACTTTGGACGAGTCCATCTTGTGTACAAGGGACGAGCCCCACAATAGCTAACTCCTGTGGAGCTCTTTATTGGGCCTTCGGCTTGTTCAGGAGTTTGAGAGTCCCTAAGTTTTTGCATGTTCTCAGCATTGGAAGGTCTCCTGGCTGCCGTTTGATCTGGGTTTTCATTT